ATCCTGTCGTGAACTCTGGGTTTTTGCATGAGAGTCACCAAGTCTGGAATTGCCGCCGGGTTCATTCTCCGGCGGATTGGGCTTGGCCACGACTGGCCCCACCCCTGGATGTCTGTTCATCTTGTCCAGACAGTGTCATTGCTCGATGTCTCGATCTCTTAGTAATGATCTTGATTCTATTTTTATGAGTGCTGGATCCAAAGATTGACCTCAAAATATCTTATGATGCCCTCCTTCTAATGTCAAACTGTTGATAAACAGATTTGATCAACTAATTGGATGTATTAAATTTGAGATTAAAATATGATTAAGGTAGTTTTATTGATAAAGTTGAAAAATCTAGGTAACAGTCACAAGTCGGTATTTTGGACTTGAGGTCGGTAATTTTATACATGCAATTGACTTTTTTGAGCATTAGTCGAGGTGATAAATGTAGACTTTAATGTGTCGGCAAAAGATCCTCGTATTGAGTTTAATGCTGCTATTTATAGTAATTGTTGGCTCGTCTTTTGATGAGATTCGACGGCATTTAATGTGGTGTGACAGTGTAGGTTAGGCTTTTTCTGCAAGTGGGTCCTCCAGCAATGATGCTCACGTGGGTTGAGACATTTGATGGACATACATTTAATGCAGCCCGTAAACGCCGACGTCGACTCTCGAGGACATCGCGTTCGTTCGAGTCGGTTTCTCTGAGGAGGTCGGTCCCACTAGGGAGGTCGGCTTCATCACCTCGGGAGATTCTTCCTTTTTCCACTCGGCGCGGCTCATTACTCTCGCCACGATCCACGTGTCGTTGATCCAACGTGCGAGATGATTTTTATGTCAACACACCCCCTGTTGGAAAATCCACCGTTGGAATTGTCAAAATCCAACGGAAATTCCAATGAAAAACTCATTCCAACGGAATATTTTTGTTGGAATTTTCGTTGGAATCCATTGAAAAATTCCAACGGAAATAATAGTATTGAAATATCCGTTGGAATTTCCGTTTGAATAATTCTTTTGAAATATTTTTTCGTTGGAATTTCATCATTTTTTTGTAGTGTCAACCTAACAATTAAAAATTGTTTCTCTCTCCTTCATCTATACAATCCAATTTACAACCTAACTTATCTTTTTCCTCAACCCAACTCAACCTAAAATATTTATTTTATTTTTATTTATTTATTTATTAAGTATTATCTGAAATTAGTTTGTATTATTGTTTTAGTTATGATAAATTAATTAAGGAATTTAAAAATTAAAGTCGTAATGATTTCAATAAAATTAATACTTTATCATACCATAAAAAGTTACAAACTTAGTTAAAAAATAAAATATTAAAATTAATTAAAAACAATTACTAACACTTCAAATAAAATCACACATCAATTATCATTACTAAATATAAAAGTTGCAATCGTGTTCTAAATAATATCAAATGTGGTATCTATAATAGAAAATAAAAAAAAATATGAATTTTGACAGTGCGGAATTAAAAGTTGGATCATAAGACTAAATTTATCCATAACCCAACTCAACTCAACCTAACAATTAATTATTTCTCTCTCTTTCATCTACACAATCCAATTTTACAACCTAACTTATCTTTTTCCCTAACCCAACTCAACCTAAAATACTTATTTTATTTTTATTTGTTTATTTATTAAGTATTATCTGAAATTAATTTATATTATTGTTTTAGTTATGATAAACTAATTAAGAAATTTATAATTAAAGTCGTAATGATTTTAATAAAATTAATACTTTATCATACCATAAAAAAATTACGAACTTAGTTAAAAAATAAAATTACAAAAAGTTAAAATAATATGTTAAAATTAATTAAAAACAATTACTAACACTTCAAATAAAATCACACATCAATTATCATTACTAAATAGAAAAGTTGCAATCGTATTCTAAATATATCAAATGTGATATCTATTATAGAAAATAAAAAAAAAAATATGAATTTTGACATTTTTTATTTTTAATACATATAAACCTCTAAAAATATAAAATCTCCTTTATATTATTTAAAGAATACACTTGTCCAACGAAAATTAGACAAGTATCCCATTTTAACTCTCTCAACTATTTTGAGACCCAAGGTCACATCGTGACCTTATTTTATTTTGTTTTATTCTCTTTCATTTGCCGCTAACTCAATGACTTGGATTACCAATAAAACTAGCTTAATACATACACATCACATCAATTTTGAAATCTATAATTTTTACATTTTACATAATTTATAGAATGCATTATGTCAACAAATGATGCAAAAATAAATATTAGTATTGATTAATATCAATACCTCCAAAGGTTTTTCAATCTATATATATATATATATATATATATATATGTATAGGGGGAGGATTCAATGAGTCTACTCCTTAAAATGACTCCACTCCTTAAAATGAGTCCACTCCTTAAATATATATTAATTAAATAATAAAATAATTATTAGTTGACTCCGGCGTTGACTGTTGACTTCCGGCGTTGACCGTTGACTTCCGGCGAGAAATCGTTGACTTTCAACGTTGACCGTTGACTTCCGGCGTTGACGCGTTGACCCCTAGTATGCATTATATGTATGAAGTAAATATGCATCCAGTACCATGCATTCAATATGAACAAAATATGCATGGGATATGAATTGTACATGTAGTCCTTATGAACTAAATATGCACCAATAATATCAACTAAGTATGCACCTGTTATGAACTAAATATGCATCTGTTATGAACTAAATATGCATCATGAATGAACTAAATATGCAGCGAAAAATATGCAATAAAATGTGCAGTTTATATAGGTATTTTATGATGCATGTTTAGTTAATTTATTATGAATATTTAGGTAATTTATGATGCATATTTAGTTAATACGAAATGTATACTTGTTATATTTAAATTAAATATATAATAATATCTATATAATTAATTTATTATGCATATTTACTTAATTCATGATACATATTTAGTTCTTACGAAATGCATACTTAGTTCATGAACAATGCATACCTATTTTATTTGAGATCCAATCATAACAATTTATTTGTGTTATTAATTA